AGCTCCACGCCCAGCAGAGGCTCTGCCGCGGCTCCGTGCCCAGCAGCGGGTCAGTGGCAGCGGCTCCACCCTCCATGGCAGCAGCTCCGCGCTCAGCAGCAGCTCCATGCTCCACATAAAATCGCTTGGCGGGCCGCATGGTGGCCTGCGGGCCGCGTGTTGGACAAGCCTGGTCTAACACTATCCTCTTTATAACTACCCTTCAGGTACTGGAAGACTGTTATGAAATCACTCCTCAGTCTTCTCTTCTCCAGGCTAAATAGCTCCAGCTCCTTCAGCCTTTCCTTGTAAGTCAGCTCTCCTAGACCTCTAATCATTTTTGTTGCTTTCCATTGGATCTCCAATTAATCCACTTTCTTCTTTAGGTAGGGTACCCAAAACTGGACACAGCACCCCGGGTGAGCCTTAGCAGGACTTAATAGAGAAGAACCACTTCCCTTGATTTAATGGCAATACTCTTGTTAATATAGCCCAGTAGGCTATTGCAGTTTTTTTTGTACTGTGAGAACAGTGATAACTTTTATACAGTTTGCAGTCCACTGTAAACCCTTCGTCTTTTCTGCAGTACTGTAGTCTACCCAGTCATTCCCCAATCTGCACTTTGGGCATGTCATTGTTCCATCCTAAGTACAGGTCCTTACTAACCTCTTATCTGATTAATTTCGGACCTTTTTTTGGCTGATCAAGGTCGTTCTGAATCCTAATCCTAACCCTACCCACCAAAGCAGGAGTGGGCAAAATGCAGCCCGCACACCAGACCCATCTCACCAAATGATTCTACCCAGCCTGCGCCTGCTGCTCCAAAGGAGAATACTGTCCAGCCTGTGGCTGCCCTGGGTTTTGCCTGCTCTTACCCTTCTCCCTTCCGTATGCTGTAGGCAGTAGCAGCAGCTCTGGCTCTAGTGGCCAGACAGCCACTTCCCTCCCTGGCTTAGCCCACCCTGCCCCTAAAGCAGGGGTGGGCAAAATATGGCCTGTGGGCTGGATCCATCCCATGAGATCATTCTATCTGGCTTACTGGGCCCCTAAAAAAATTTAGAAAATTATCTGTCCTTGGTTCTGTCAAAAATGACAGAAGTCAAGGGCAGTAGGACCCAGGGGAAGCCCCGGCAGACTCCTGCAACATCAGGGCCTGCCTGGCCCCCTCACCCCAAGGGCGGGGCTTCTGGCCTGGGACCATGTGGCTGCACCAGCACAGGAAACTTAGGTAAGGGGTGGGGGGAAGGCAGGGAAGGAGCAGGTGCTGAATGGGGGGAAAAGTGGCCCCTCCCCTACTCTGTTGCTGCAGCTGCTTACAGTCCACACGGGGCTGTCCCGAGCAGGCACACACAGTCCCATGTAGGCTGCGAGCAGCTGCAGCGTGGGGCGCTGGTCATGGGGTGGATGAGGGGCCCCACGCTGCAGCTGCAGCAACGAGCCGCTGCTTTTCCCCACACCCAGCACCAGATTGTAACCCGCCCCTGCTGCCAGTCTGGGTTCCAAACCAATTCCGGGCTTGCCTGTTGGGGCTGCACTGCAGCAGCAGCAGCAGCTGCTTGGCACAAAGGAAAGTGGCCCCCCTCACTTGCTGTGCCAGGCTGTGTTTGCTGCTGCTGCCTGCCTCGAGCTTGCATGCTGGGCAGCACAGAGGCAGTGGTGACAAACACTGCCTGGTGCGACAAGTGCGGAGGCTGTTTTCCTCTGCACCAAGCAGCTGCTCTGCTGCGGCTCAGGCTGGCAGAGAGGGCGGGTTACAAGCTAGTGCTAAATGTAGGAAAAGTGGCCCCTCGCCCGCCACCCCATGGCTGGTGCCCCATGCTGCAGCCACCTGCAGCCTGTGTGGGGCTGCCAGTGCCTGCTCAGGATAGCTCTGCACAGGCTGTGAGCAGCTGCAGCAAAGAGTGCTGGCCATGGGGTGCAGGAGGGGCCACTTTTCCCTGCACTCAGCACCAGCTCCTTCCCTGCTGGGGAGCAGGGGGTCAGGGCTGCGCACTGCCCTCTACCTGTACCATGGGGCTGGGGGGGCACTGAGAGTGAGCAGGTGCGGAAGTCAGTGGGAGCACAGGGCCTGCACTGGTGTCCTGGGCCCAGTGTCAGCAGGGCCCAGAGCAGGGCAGCAGAAGTACAGGCTCCTGGCCGGCAGAGGCTCTATGGAGCTGGGCCAGCTCCCCCCTTTCCCTGCTGGTGCAGCCCGGCCTGGCTCCACAGTCCCCTGCCAGCCTGCGCCCCACTCCGGGCCCCGCCGGTGCTGGCCTTGAGACATTGGTCCCAAGACATTAGGACACTGGTCCTAAGACAGGGGGCGGGGCAACCCATACAGCCCTTGACAACTTGCCAAAACTGGGTAAGTGGCCCTCCACCCAAAACAATTGCCCACCCTTGCCCTAAAGGCAGGGGGTGCTCAGCTCCTCACTAGGCTTCTGCCTGGTGAAGTGGTCTTCATTTAGCGCTGACCCTGTACCCATTTGCAGACCAGACAGCTTGGCCCCCCAAGCGACAGCTGAAGCTCAAGTATGGTCCTCTCCACTGGCAGGAGGGAGTTCATGGGGAAGAGGGGCAGGAGCCATGGGTTATCTGGGCCAGAGTTACCTGGGTTATCCAGGTCGGGATAGGGTGTGGGTGCCACTAACAAGGTGCTGCACTGTGTTCTTATGTGGTGCTTTGGGCTGCACCATGTGGGCTGGCACAGCTCCTGCCCAACCCCAAGTCCCAGGCATGCGGTTGAGTTGTGCAGGAACTGCACCAGTTGCTCCCATGTGACCCGAAACATCATGCACAGCGCAGCACTGGCCCAGACCAGCCGCATGCCAGGGACTCTGGGCAGGGGACGGGGTACAGAAAGAAGTGGGGGGTGGGGGGAGGAAAACAGTGTAGCATTGGCTTGGCTGGGCCTGGATAATCTGTGGCTCCCAGCCCCCTTCTCCCTAAACCCCCTCCCCTACTCCGAGTCCCTAGCATGTGGCTGGGCTGCTGCTGTGCTGTGCTGTGTTCCCATGTGCTGCCCACATGGGTGCACCTTGAGTAGCTGACATGCTCCTGAGGGGGACGGGGTGCATGGAAAGTTGCAGGGAGCTTGTGTGTATATGTGTCTACATCTGCATGCTTGTGGCCCTCAACAGCTCACCAAAACTCATGAAGTTGCCCTCCAGCCCAAATAATTGCCTACTCCTGCTCCAAAATGTATTCAGCTCCACCCATCTTGGTGTCATCTGCAAATTTACAAATTCTGTACTCAATTCCATCCTTCAAATAATTTAATTAAGATATTATCCCGGACAGACTCCTGGGAAACACGATTTAATACCTTTTCTCAATTAGACACCAAATCATTGATAACTACCTTCTGGACACAGAAATCCAATCTTTTAGCTTCATCTAGATTTTGGATATTGTCATCACCAAGACAAGAAAACGATGTCATGGGGAACAATGCCTAACACTTTGGTCAAGGTATACAGCCGCTACATTCATACTTTTCCACAGAAGGAAATAAGATGGGTCAAGCATGACTCAACTCTTGACAAACCCAGGCTGACTATTCCTGATCATTTGGTTATCCCACAGGTACTAAGGAACCAATTACATGATCCACACTCTGGGTATCAAGTTCACAGATTAATCCAGACTGATGAGTCTGTAATTCCCACATTTTTCTTCTAATCTCCTCCTCTTACTTTAAGATGGGCACTATATTTGCCCTTTTCCAGTCATGAAGGCCCTGGCTCAACCTTTATGAGTTATCACATTACTTCAGCCAAATTTCTTGACTACCCTAGAATAAATCGTTTCTAGTCCTGCTGACCTGAAAACATCCAGTTTTTTTAAGTAGTCTCTAACCTACTCTAGGCTGATTATTTCTTTCCCTACCCTTGCTGTCAACTGCACATCATCTGGTAGCTGACCTTTTCCAAGAAGACAGATGTAAGAAAAAGAAAAACACTTTAGCTGTCTCCATATCATTGATTAGGTTCTTCTCCCTATTCACTATAGGACATAGTTAGCATGGAACAGAAAAGACAACAAAGAAAGCATTTAACACATATGTTGGAAGACCAAGAGAGTGCCTCAGTTTTGGTTTCTGGCCTTCTTGATAGTCTCTCTGCATGTCTGTGATACTCTTACACTCATCCCTCATAATAAGACCATGTTTCATTTTTTGTCAGTTTTGAGTTTCAAGTCATTGAAGAGTTTGCCATTTAAACAGGCCAGTGCCTAGCTGCATTTCCTATCTTTCTTTTGCATCAGGATAGCTTGCTCTTGTGCCCTTAATATAGATGGGCTCCTTAAGGTATAAACAGCTTTCCTGCACTCATGCTCCTCTTTAACTTGCCTCCCAAGGGATTCTGCCCACAAGCTCCCTGATCTTATGGAAGTCTGCTTTTCAGATGCCCAGGGCTTTATTTTTCTCATCTTCTTTCTTCTTTTCCTTTGGATCTCAAACTGGAATCATTTCATGCACACTAATCACCCAATTTGCCTGCGTCTTCACAGTGTCAATACATTTCTCCTTATTTGTGAACAGAAATTCAAAAAGAGCTTCCTGGTTAGTTTTTCTACTATTTGCAACGAAAAGTTATCCCCAACACATTCAAAGAGCTTGCTGGACTACTTTTGCACTGCTGTTATCCTACCAACAGTTGTCATGGTAATTTAAGTCCCCCACTGGCACCAGTTCCTACTCACTGGAAATTTCAATTGATTGTTTGAAAAAACTTCATTTACCTCCACTTTCTGGCTTGAAGAAAGTCTACAGTAGCCACACACCACGATATCAACCTTGATGTTCTTCTCTCATTTTACCCTGAACAAAAAACTTGCAACAGATCTATCTCCCACCTCTGAATTGAACCTCAGAACAAGTATGTCATATTCATAGCAACACAACCTTGATTTCCCCCATCCCTGCTCTTCCTGAATAAGTTCTACCTATCTATGAGAGTATTCCCATTATGCATGCTATCCTATCAAGTCTCAGCTGAACCAGTTCTCATCATCATATGTTACATATAATGTTTGCATACCTTTCTTAAGAGCTTTGTATTTCTCTTCATTTTCCATAAAGTCAGGATCCATCTTGAAAACATCTGTAAAATGGTAGACAAAAACTTTTATTAAAAGGAGAAACAAAAAATATTGTGGGTTTCATCTTAAATTTACTTTCACAGAGACTGGTACTGTAAAGTTAATTTTTATTTCTCACTTACTAAGAATATCCTCTGGGTTATAGTCATCTTCCAGTGGTAACATATGAGTAAACTGATCCTCCTCTTCCACTAGATCTAGTCCTTCAGGAATGATTGGATGATCTTTGAATCCATCCTTACGTACAGCAAACATAACTTCTATCATGTACTGAACACGTATGTCAATTTTGGATTCGTGCAGAATGTGGCGAAGACGGTCAAAAATTGCTTTAGTTAAAAGAAGAAAAAAGTATAAAGTGAACAAGTGATCATAAAAATACTACAGATTTTAAAAGGTACAGTGTATCAGCTGGTTATACTCACCATTAATTCCTCTAGGGGAGACTTCTGTTAATTTGAGCCCAGACTCTTTCAGAAATCCAATTGCTACTTCAATACTGTCATCTGTAGGTCTTTCAAGAAGCAACGTAAGCATTTCTAAACATAAAACTTCATGAGCCTAAAGAGAAAAAACAAACAGTAAGAGTTTTAGGAAAAAAGCAAAATTCTGAAGTTTCTACATAAAAGTGTCAGTATTTATTTCACTTTTACTATAAAACAGTAGCTGACCAAGCCTTTATATTTTGTGACGTATTTGGAGAGAAAAAAAGAGAAGTTATAAGAATTGTTAAACAATGTGAAGGCAGGGTTTCAAATAAAAGTTCTGTTTTTTTGTATTTCCACTGCCTTTTTACTAGACATTACCGGTATTTTGAGTGTTGCTACCCTCATTAAAAACAAATAAGCCAAGAAAATCTGTCCCAGCAATAAAGGAATTTAATATAATTCTAAAAGTGATTCTAACACCAAACAACATTTAGGTATATACAGCTTTTCTTTCATGTTTTCCTTTGTACTTTTACCATTCAAACTTACTAAAAGAGGAAAATAAGAATCAGTTGCCAACCTGAATGGCAACACAAAACTGGAACTGAAGGGCAATCACGTCACCTGTGCACAAATCATTTGAGAGAGTCTGGAACTAATGTGCTGGATGGTCCTGATTCTGAGATACTATAGTGAAGTAAACTGAGATTGTTCACTATCCTGCAAGATCAGATCAACTGTTACACAAACTGAATTTATCAAACTAATTCCCTATCATGACAATAAAAGGCAACATGAAATTGTGAAACTAGAAATCATCCACAGACTGTATTGTTAAGTAGTCTAAACAGGGACTATGGATTCCTAGCCCATTACCTGCATTAGTTTGTGCGACTCCTTTGTCTCTACGGGTTTATTACTTGCTTGCCCCTCTCAGCACTGCTCCCCACTCCTATCCTTGTCTTTTGTATTCTAACCATTCTATTTCAGTAGTGCTCAACCTTCCTTGCCATACTGACCCTGCAATCCCAAAATGCTGGCCCCAAGAGCCAGTGCAGTGTAGTGTCAGGCCACATCATTCAGCCCATAGGGCTCCCAACAGATCTGGAAATTTGGCAGCAGAACAACTAATGCTGCTACTGCTCCCCTGTTGCAAAATTTTTGGAGCCACGGGGTGACCCTTATGCTGGATGATATGACCTTGTGGGTCAGCTCTGGCCTGCAGGCCAGAGGTTGAGCACCACTGCTCTATTTGACACTCTGCTCTGAGCGTGTCCTTTCATAGTATCTGGTGAAACAAGTGCTTGTTCACAAAAGCTTATGCACCTCCGATTCAGTTAATCTAAGATATATCTGCACTCTGCATTCTGCCTGACTTCAAACTGACATGGTTAACTACCTTTCTCTGATATGGAAGAGAAATAGCAAAGTTGGGTCTCAATTTGTTTCAGGTGCAATTAAGAAGTCTAAATTTTGTCTACCTCATAAGGTGACTCATTTGTTGAGATCAGGACCCCATTACTGTATTGACTCAAATCTAAGATGAGTCCCCTCACATCAGGATGGGGAGAAAAGTCTCATCTTCGATTCACATGGTGGGGAGGGGATTACTGAAGCTCTGACTCTGGCCTGGTTGAGGCCAGAGTCCGACCCACAGCATCCTCCTGTCCTACCTCTCCCCTTGGCTCTGCAGCTTCTGCCCCTCCCCAACCCCCTTTATCAGGTGCAGCTTGGCTCCAGCTCAGGTTGGAATCCCTCCTGGGCATCGAGCACACAGAAACTTCATCCTCTGTAGCACTGCCACTGCTAGATGGCCCAGCAAGGGCTGCACTTCCATGTGCTATTGCTCTGAGAGAGAGCAGAGTCTGAACTGCATCTGGCATAAGCAGGCATAGAGGTGGGGCAGAGGGGGTAGAAGTGGAAGGAAAGAGGCAGAGACTGCAGGAAGGAAGAGGAAAGGGGCAGAGAATGTGGGGAGCTGGGGGCGGGGTGTAAGTTGGTAGCAGGGAACAGGGCAGGAAGGCTGCGCGGGGAAGAAGTGGGGTGGTGAAAGCAGAGGGCAAGGGGGCTACCTGACCCCCCCCCCC